ACCATTTCCGTTTTGAAAACCATTTCAGAGACATGTTCTTAAATATGACTCATATAAAATATATTACATGCATGCACAGTTTTAAGGCAGCTTTAATCGCCTTTTTGGTAACTTCATGACTTAACTGACCACGGCATTGAATGCACGTAGTTTATTTCGCGCTTTGATATGAAAGGATACAGACGACAGCGCGCGCCGGCGCCTTTGTGCGTGCAATTGAAAAGCACGCGCTTCGAGCACAGTACCCTTTCCGTGCTCGTTTGACTCGCGCCTGGCGCTAAAGTGAAGTGGAGTGCGTGTCTGAAACGTCTCCCGTTCTCAGTCATTCTGCGACTGAATAAATGCACTTCTTGTCAAGAGAAAAAGTGACAGAAGCAGCAGTTGTGAGTGGGGTGGCCAACCCTAGCCCCGCCCCTGCGTTAATTGCGTTAAATATTTTTAACACGTTAAACTGACAAAATAATCGCCTGCGTTAACGCTCTCTAATTTTGACACCACTAATATATATATATATTTTTTTTTTAATTATTATTTATTTATTTATTTTTTGTATCAACACCGCGCCACTGGCGGTAGTTGGTCCATTACCACCGCGGTGGTAAAAATCTGCCACCTTCACAGCCCTAATGCCTTGAACTTTTGCCTTGGCTTTTAGTGAGTCATAGGAAGTTTGTTAATGCCAGCAGAGGAGCGTTGAGCTACAGATGAGCCCAGTGGATTAGACTCTATAATAAACCGCGGATCAGCTCTGAGACAACTGAGAAACTCTGCCAGTCAGTCAGGTCTGTGGGATTTACTGACGGATTTCATGAGGAGAGAGAAATGGAAGAGGACTTTGTTTAATTAGGTTAGTAGGTTGATTAAAGTGGACTTTAATGACCTGGTATTACAAAACAGGTGATGAGAATCCCACTTTTAATTTGACACGCAGTGTATCATCCAATAGTCATTATTGTGGAAGCTCTTATATAGTTTTATTTACATGCACACTCACACAGGCGTGCACTCTGTTCCACAACATTACTATCATCAAGAATGAGCCTGTAATGCCTTAAAATGCTGTCTTCGTAGGCAGTTCATTTTTGAAAGAGAACGAGAAATGCCCCTCTCTGAGTTAACAGCTGCATTAATCTGTTGAGCAGTGTCATTTGTCAGTTTGCCTCATTATCTGCTGGTCTCAATCCTCTTACAGAGTTCTCAGATAAATGACTAATAATCTAACGGATTTATGACACAATGAGATTCCTGAGTCGGCGCCGCTCCTTTTCCAGCTCGGGAGGGTAGCGGGAAGTCCTCTTTCTGGATACATTTGTCTTCTTCCTCATCCTGTTGTCTCCATCTCTCTGTATCGCCATGGGGAGTGTGTTAAAGCACACTCTGTTCTGGGCCGCTGAGACAAGGTGCAGACGGCAGAGAGCGCACATCCTCTTTACACCAGCGGAGTGCGCTATTCATAGATGCGCTCACTGCATCTAACAGGAAGTGCATGGCATATTACAGTGTGTGCTACCTAGGATGACGCAGTTCCTAATTTGATCTATACATTTTTTTGGGCCAATAACGATACAGACTGTCCTAGCAACACCCTACAAACCACTCTCAACACCTTAGCAACAGCATTGCTGTACCCTATCAAACATGCTAGCATTGTGGTGGTGGGTTTTGCACGGGCAGGCACCACTCTCATATTCTACAGAAAATGTGAAAATCTCATATTATCAGTATTATTATTAAAAGAGAGGTGTGCAGACAGATGGCTCTGCTTCTGCCCTAAAAATAGTCTGCTTTTCACATCATGTGATGATAGGGTTTATGCCTAGCTGAATGGAGGAAGTATGAAAACGCACACATATCCGTACACACACCTGAGATTATATATTTAATCTGTCAGTTGCTCTTATTAATTAAAAAAAAATTATTATCAGTCATGTTTGCCTGTTGCATAGAGATCTGATGCTTTGAAAGCTCTTTGAACACACACACACTCCACACACACAGAGAGTGAGACACAGACCTTTCCACAAGTGCAACAATCTCTTTCATAAATAGGGAAAAAAAAAACTGACGAATCAGAGGGGAGAATTTCACAGGCGGCTCCTAAACCCTTATCATTTTCTAAAGGTAATGAGAGTCAATCTCCCGCTCTGCTCACCAAAGCCTAACCTGCAGTCTCTCAGGCCCCCTATGCTAAGGCAAGCGCTCTATCACAATGCCTGATAATTTACCTCTTCATAGCTGTGAAATAGAGGAAGGGAATTCAGGTGTGCAGCCGGGGTGAAATGGGGGGCTTTGTGGCGGCACCAAGACCAGCTGACAGGCATCATGTGTGCGTGACGAGAGAAATTACATTTCTCTTGGATTTAGAACCTCACTCTTGTACATGGCAGTGAGATCGTGCCATCTGAAGCACTCTTCCAAAGGATGCTTTGGGATGGAGAAATCAGAGGGCAACATTAGATATGGTTTAAATGGATGTGCTTTTAGACAGTGGAGCCTAGTAAAAGAAATTTCTCATCTTGTCTTTATGTCAAAAGACCAGTTTAAAACTTTATTTGCAGAGCTATGATGAGTAATTTAACTCTTAATGTGTTCAAACTCTTATTGTAACAACAACAAAAAAATACATAATGTGACGTAATTCAGTCAATGTTTCTCTGGATGGTTACATTCAACTTAAATTTGGCCTACAATTAATTCTATTGCCCATCAAACAAAAAAGTTTGACCTGTACTTGCACAGTCATATGACACAGTTCCAAAATTGTGCATTTTGACTATGAACCCAATAGGGTTTTCATTTTTTCTCCTCCCTATTTTCTTGTGAGCTCTCAGTCTCTGTGATGGGCCGGGTATGTAATTTTATTCATGTAATTCATTTCCATTGTGCCAAATGCCTAAATTGTCATTAGTGGCCAATAGTAGTCCAACGGCATTTAGCAGTGGTCAAAAGAGATTTTCAGAATGATTTGTTCTCCTTGTACACTCTGAGATGTCAGTTTGAGTGGGAGTATTTAATCATATCAGGTGCCTCTGTAAAAAAGCAGTAGATAATCTGTCTGGAATTTTCTGTTGGGTAGTTTGAGAAAGCACTGATTAAATCACTCCATGAATGCTGAAATGACCTCATATTCTATCTCAAAACGTTTACCACCTGAATAGGCATCATGACATTTTTTATTTAGTTTTTCTGCATTGTTTTGAACTCTGTATCATTTGTGTCATGTGTCCAAATTATTTCACTTAAATGTCACTGAGATATGTGTAAGAATGTTCCAGAAAGAGAAATAGTTTGACAGAACTTCAAGACACAGCAAGAAGTAAACACGCTGATGGATGAGCGCTGACAACAGAACAAGAGCGAAATGCTTAAATATGAGCCATGATTCACTGCGACAGGTTGCTCTGCTCTTATATAAATGTTAAAGTCAAATCTTCTCAATCTTAAAATGCTGTCTCTCTCTCTCAAGCCTGACTGAAATGAAAAAAAATTATTTCTTAAAAACTAAAAATGCCACTATGGTGAGGCCAGTAATGATGTCGTCTGTCATTCGTCCTGCCTGACCGCTCTGGACCTATAGCCTGTTATCTAAGCTGTGATTGACAGTAGTCATCCACCGGTGACAAGTAATCAATCAAAGCAAAAGAAAACTGAGGGCTCCAGGCCATATCCATGGAGACAGGAATGGCTCTTACATGTGTATTTCAGTGCAGATCTCTTCTTCGGTTCGGCTCTGTTTGGCCTTGTATGTTTCCCGACAGCTCCACAGCGCCTCTTCTTCTCTCAAGTGTTAATTGGCTGTAAACGGTAAGATGCACTAGCTGGAGTTGATGACCCAGGATGAGCTCTCTCAGCAGATCCTTGTCCCGCTGTGTGTGACGAAATGCCACATTTAGCAGATGTGTACATGTGTGTTCTCATGAACCATATGTTCTTTGCCTTTCTGGAAGGCTCTTTGCTTTCTGTTTGAGTTAAAGTACAGGCTATTATCAGTTTCACAATGGTTTTTAGAGAGATAAATATAAAAAATATAAAAAAGTAAGTCTTCATTTTAAATCCCAGCAGACAATATTTTTCTATTACAGATTAATTAAAACTGTGAGGAATGCTGTTCTATCCACACATTTCATTGAATGACCGGAAGGTGTTAATTTTCAATGAGATTTGACAGTATGAGCCTTTACGATGAGGCACAGTTGAGATGAGTTCAACTTGTCCGCCTCCAATGTTGTAGTCAGTGTGAACACACCTTAAGAGAGACTTAAGTCTCACTCCACACATAACTTACTCTTTCTGTTTCTCTGTTTGCAGCTGACCCGTGTCCCAGTGGAGGCCTGCGAGCAGTATTCATCCTGTAAAGAGTGTCTGGGATCTGGAGATCCTCACTGTGGCTGGTGTGTGCTTCACAGCATGTGAGTAAAACCCTCCTGCACTTTGCATGGCTACGCACTGTCCTGTACACCTGTATGTAGACAAACTCCTGAGGATTATATAAAGGAAAAACAGAATGTGTACTAGATGTTTGTTAAAGGGACAGCACACCCAAAAAATCTAAATGTTGTCATTATGTACTCAACCTGATGTCGTTCCAAACATGTATGACTTTCTTTGGACTGTGGAACATAACATGTTTTGAAGAATGTTCGTGACCAAACAGTTTCCATTCCCGTTGACTTCCATTATTTCCATTATACAGTGGAAGTCAATGGCAGCTGAAACTGGTAACCAATATCTTTCAAAATATATTTTTGTGTGTGTGTGTTCTGCAGATGAAAGAAATGTATACAGATTTGGAATGACATAGGGTAAATTATGACACAATTTTCATTTTTGGGTGGACAATCCATTTAAGAGGCATGTAGCATGATATGTTCTCATTTAGAGTAATTCAAATAAGTCAAATTTTCCTACTAATGGATCTCAGACACGTGCACACATGGAAACACGTAAACACAAATACTTGTACACGGCCACCTTTCCACCCGCTGTGTAGAAAGTGAGGGTGATGGATGCTTCAGGCCCTCAACGGATGGCCACATTTCCCACTCCACTGTGAATTGAAAATTGGATTCTTGTCCTCTTTTGAGGACCCCATAGGAGTGTGTGTGTGTCTGTGTGCGGCATTGTGATCTCAAGTTTCTCACATCTCCACAGCTCCATATTCAATGACATCTAGGTCTTAAAACACTCTACACACACATGTACACATTACCCGTGCCACTAAGGAGCGACAGGGCAAGAGAAGGTCTAGCAGACGTTTGCAGTGTTTCAGACCAAAAGCAGCATTACCGTCTTAAGTGCAGGAGAAAGAGAGGGAGAGTGAGGGGATGTGTAGAGATTCAGGGCCTATGTCTCTCTCTCTCTCTCAGGGCTTTTGAGTGCTCTAGATGCGACGGGCCATGGGCATAGCGTTTGCCACATGGCTGCCCAAGGTCAGGCAGGCTTAAAATCTCACATTTATCTGTCTCTCACCCGCCCGCTCTCTCATTCTCTCTCACTCTCTCTTGCTTTTGTAAAAGTGAGAGCTGCATTAGTGCTGGACAGTGAGACATGTGCTCAAATGGCCTGTGCATGTATCGTTTCCTCCTGAGATGTTTGATAGTTTCGGTCTTGAGCTTTGTTGCTTAGCGTAAGCTCTACAGTATTTCCTGATCCAGTCGATGTTCAAAGGATGAACAGAGGTGAATTGAGCCACTTTGTACTTCTTGTAGTAAAAATGAGCATACTGTTACTTATTTTTCTTTTATTTAGCCATTTAGAAATTTTAACAAATTATTTGTTTTGATCATTATATTTGAATCATATAATATTTGTTCATTCTTTTTAGCCATTTATTTTTCGTTTGTCATTTTAGCCATTTAGCTATTTGTTTATTTTGCTAATTAGAAATGTTAGCTATTTTAGTCATTTATGTTGTCCATTATATTTAATATATCACATAATTTGTATATTTATTGATTTTATTTATTAGCTATTTAACAATTTTAGCCATTTAGTAATTTATTTAGCAGTATTTATACTAATCATCATATTTAAATCACATAATTTATGTATTTTTATGTATTATTTATTAGCAATTTAAACATTTATTTAGCTATTTATTCATGTAGCCACTTAGCTTGATTGATTGATATATTTACTTATTTATTTTGCCTATATATATCTATCTCTCTCTCTCTCTCTCTCTCTCTATATATATATATATATATATATATATATGCAAAATAAAATAAGTAAATTATTTGTTAAATTAAATTATAAAAAAAAAATAACAGTGTTAAACACATTTGACTTGTGAATTCACATGCTGTGTTGTAAGATCAAAACATGATTTAAACGTCACAGATCCAGACTGACCAATTGATTCAGGTGTGCAGTGTTGCACCAAAGTAGATTGCTTTTTTATACATTTTGAATTTATTCCTATGTTGTATTATTTTTTTTTTAAAGATAGCGCACAGCATGACGTTATTAGTTTTGGATTGAGTCCTGTATTCGCACTGCAGGAATAGGCTGATCAATCTGCCATGATTGTCCGTGAAGGAAGGAGGTCATTTGTGACTGAAAACTGTGCAGCTAGAGAGAGCTGCCTCTTTCTCTCCTTCACTCTGTCATTTCTATCTGTCCTCTGGCAGCAGAAACAGTGTCAAGTGTACATGGGACACAATGCTAATAAAAACAGCAGCAGTTTGTTGTTTAGCCTCAGGTGGTAGAAGGACCAGAACTCACATGAGGTCTTTATGTTAGTTGGCAACACGAGTACGGCTGCATTTGCAGAGGCCAACCCTCGCTTCCATTCAGGCCCTGTGTCGCTTCTTATTTTGGACTCTTTTGTCTCTGCATTTTTCATATCACCATTCTATTTGTCCCTTCTATGTTTTTCATTACTTTCTCATAGCACTCTCTCATTCTTTCTCTTCTCTCCCATGGCCTCATGCCCAGAGAAAGTGAACAACACCACTCTCTGATGGAGTCAGGCAATCTGACCTGGCCTCCCTGGGTCCCCGGCTGATTGATTGCCCTGGAGTTTACCTTTCCCATCCTCTCCTCCCCTGCATACTTAACCAGCGTCCCTGTAACTCGAGTCCTGCCCAGAGAGGGCTCTCTCACGCCAGGCATGACTCCTGCCAGTGCTCCCTCTATTTGTCTGCTGTAATCTACCTGTTTTTCATGGGTGATCATGCTTAAAGCAGCATATCTTAACACCGAAATGCCACAAAGAGATTCTCTGTCATACTGCAACTGTATGGATGTCTTTTTAATAAGAGATGAAAGATGCCATAAACAGATCAATAGAGAAGTGCAGAGATCAGATGGACTGCACTTCTCACCCTGATCAATTCAGTTTGAGAGATCTATGTCTGTCTGTCTGTCTGTTGTGGATTCATTCATTCTTTCGTTTGTTCTTTTGTTCGTTCTATTATAGTAAATAGTAAAATAACACTTGTTTGTCTCTAAAGAACTTTTGTGAGATGTTTAATTCTTAAAGTTCATGCAAGAAACTGTGTTCAAACAAGTGAAAAAAACTCTCTAATTTGCATTTATTTTTCAAGAGGTCAGAAATCACAAAATAATGTAAAGAGGGGAAAGGTGCAGTTGCCACCGTAAGAAACTATTTCTAGCTGCTTCAATTGACTTTTGTTGGTGAAACTCACTTTACAAGGTATATCAGGGAAGGCACAGGAATTCATGATAAATTAACCAAGTAAAAGCTAAAAAATAATTCATTTACATTTTTTTAATGAAAACTAATTAAAATTGGCTAATTTTGCTCAACTTACTAGACCGTAGCTCTACTTCTGCTAACTCATACGATTACTCTCTCTTGTGTCAAAATCCCTGCTACCATAGTTACCCATGGATTTTTATAGAGGAAAACGAAGAGGAATATCAGGCTATTTATGGAAAGAAATACAATCTTAAGTAGGGATGGGTATCATTAAGGTTTTAACGGTATTACTACTCTTACTCGATACTGCTTATCGATTCGGTACTTTAACGGTATTCTTATCAGTAATTTTTGTTATTTATATATATGTATATATATATATATATATATATATATATATACAGTATATATATATATGACAAATTAAGAGCTGAATTAACATTGCTTTATATTCTGAAATGTAAGATAAATATTTAATGAAATTAATATAAAACATCAATTTGTAAATGCACCAGTGTGCAGGCATTTTTTGTTTTATACTGTACATAAGATAAGATACCATAAGAACATGAACAAAGAATCAAAGTAAAACAAACTGACACATACAATAAAACAAATATACAAATGAAATGAAAGAAACAGTGCTTTCATTTTTCCATGAAGGTCTACTAACATTACTGTTCAGGCAAGTCCCGGTAATTACAGTAATTACAAATAATTAAGTATTACAAGTAAATTAGTAATTACAGTTTTCACTGTATGTATAGATAGATTAATGTTTATTAAAGCTATGTAATTCAGATTAAGAGCTGTGAGTGATTTTGTCTTTGCATTTTGTTGTTTGATTAACTAATGGCCCAAGCGCCAGTCTGTCACTTTAAGACAATATATTGACACCCATCGGATTTTCTCCCAACTGTTCTCGTCCACTTAAGACATAAAATGTGTTTAAGTAAATACTCTCCAAGCCGGCCATTTGGACATATTTTGTGTGTATTTGATCGTTTGGACGCGCCCGAAGCTCAAAGTATAATTATCCATAACATGTCCGTTTTGGAGCGCGTCGTGTGCACACATTTCAGCCTGGGGAACAGCGTCTCTTGTGCGGATTGTGCTTTCCACGTTTTATTATCAAACATGTCCTGCAATTTAGCAACAGTGTAAGAGGGCCTTTTTTCAACAATCACCGATTGTGCTGATTCTGACTTTAAGTTTGGGTTTTAGGGAGGAATGAATGCGCGCCGCTGTTAAGGGAAAAAAGTTGCGCTAGAAGAAATGCGGCTATAATCCTTAAAAGCCAAAATCGAAATAAAAAATTTTAATTAGCTTAATAAAACAGCCACAGGCCTAAAGTGTAAGCAGACGTTTGAATGTTTAGTTATCTCCTCTATCATAATTAAGCAAGGCTTTCATGTTGCACGTGCTGAAGCTCCTCCGCACGAGCGCAATCTCACTTCTGAATTGCGAATAGCAAAAATGCATCACTGACAAATTTGAATTACATTTGAATATCATTGCATATAAATACAGCTGGCGACTCTGGTGAGATAGAATTTGCAAGATAATGTATATATATCAAAAATAAATGTATGTGTGTTTTCTTAATTTCTCTAGTACCGATAGCAGAACCGTTAACGTCAGAGCTTATCGATACTCCGGTCTTTCATAATTTAGCCCCGGGACCGATTAAATACTGGATTTCGGTACCCATCCCTAGTCTTAAGTGTGTGTTATAGGTGTATC